TGACTGGTAGTTTGGAACTGCTGACCTTCACATTAGCAGCCCGACTTGTAACCACTACACCACCAAAGCTCCTTATAATTCCTCTTTTTCTTCTGATACCTGTCTTCATGAGTGACTGGTACAGATAGCTCCTGCTTTATGCCACTTTGCTTTTATAAAAGGCCTATATTAATTAGTACTTGTTTCACCAACCAAAAGAAATCCAGAAGGGATTTTCACTTTTAAGATGAAGAGCAAAACTAGCATTCAATGTTTGTTTTTCAGCAAGCTGCTAAAGAGAAAGTACCCACAATGAGCAGTAGGAGTGATAGTGCCAAGGTCCTCCTCCCATAAACCATACTGTATGGACATTATTTCTACTTTATGTAGGCAGTGTATTTATAAATACCATTACTGATTTTACTGTATGTTACTGATGAAAATCAAAGACCACAGCCTTCAGCGTGGGTTGCACTTCAATGTAAAGGAAATAAAAATCATCCCCTCTGGACCAATAAGTAACACCATGATAAATGGAGAAAAGTTTGATGTTGTCAAAGAGTTCGTTTTGTTCAGATCTACCATCAACACTCATGGAAGCAGCAGTCAAGAAATCTAATTAGGCAAATCTGCTGCAGAAGACCTCTTTAAGGTGTTCAAGAGCAAAACTGTTAGTTTAAGGACTAAGTGTGTTTGACCCAAGCCATGATATTTTCACTAGCCTCATATGCATATGAAAGTTGGACAGTGAATGAGGAAGACTGTAGAAGAATCGATGCATTTGAGTTATGGTGTTGGAGGAGAATATTAAAGGTACCATGGACTGCCATGTGTATTGGAAGAAGTACAGCCAGAATGCTCCTTAGAAACCATGATGGCTTAACTTCATCTCTCATACTTTCGACATATTATCAGGAAGAACCAATCCCTTGAGAAAGATGTCATGCTTGGTAAAGTGGAGCAACAGTGTGAAAAAGAGGGAGACCCCAATGAGATGGATTGGCACAGTGGCAGCAACAGTGGTCTCAAGTGTAGCAGCAATTGTGAGGGTGGTGCAGTACTGGGCGGTGTTTCGTTCTGTTGTACATGAGGTCGCTAAAACAACAACGACTGCAACAACAATGTAATTTTAGGTTTTATGTGTTATTTCATAGTTTATTTTTTGAGGTGTGGGAGTGCTCAAGAAACGTCCCAGATATGCAAGTGGTAATTGTTTCCTCACTTTATGCCATTTTGGCTTATGAAAGTTTTCACAGGAACACTGTACTGTGAGATAGTGGGGGAAACCTGTACTGGAAACACTCATGGTTTAGCTTCCAGCCTCACAGCAGCACAAAAGCCACCATAGTGCGGAAAACTGACAGATGAGAGGTGGGGATTTCTTCCAGTAGTGGAGTTTTGTTTTAGATGTTAGGACATGTAACTCCTTCCATAATAACATCTAAGGGGTTTGTGGGAGTCCTGGTGTGGTGCTGTGGGTTAATGTGCTAGACTGTAAGGTCATTTGAACTGCAACATTGAGGGTTCAAGGTCACCAGCGTCTCTTGGGAAACTCTATACAGGGTTGTTATGGGTCAGAACTGACTTGACTGCATTTAACAACAACAACAACAAGGGATGTGTGGCTGCTAGCTTACCCTCTAAGGTCTATGTGGAGTGAAGACACAATGGGTGGTTCATGGAGGAGCTGCAGCAGCAGCTCCAGGGAGTTTGTTAGAGATATCCAGCTTCCAAGTCAACCATGAGGGGTCCTGAAAGGTGGGGTCTGGGGAGAATATGTACATATATATCTCCTACAGATGCCCTATTCTTCTCTCCTGGCAGCTTTACATCAGCTCTCTGATCCATCTCTTCCTCCCACAAGAGTGAGACTGATGTCCCAGGTAATCTTGTTCTCTGTGATCTGCTGCCTGCCTGATCGTGGGCTCTGAATATCTTCCCTTCTGCCTTCTCCCACATCTGCCAACTTAGTTGCTGAGTAATGGCTGTCAGTCATCGAACACCTGCCCTGTTCAGCATCTTCAGGCAGTTGAACCCATCAGGTAACCCTCCCCTCAGGCTCCAGGACACCTTTTCTCTTCCCCCATCACTGAATAATGAAGTACCACCAAATCCTGAGGTGGAACTGCCAGCCTTAGAGTTTGCACCAGCTTTGGCCACCAGCTTCCTGATTCTCAATCACTGTCTTATCACCTCTTCCATGTTGTTGTTGTTAGTTGCTTTCAACTTGGCTCCAACTCAGGGTGACTCTACACATAACAGAACGAAATGTTGCCTGGTTCTTCACCATCTTCATGATTGTTGTTGTATGAGTCCACAGCAGAGGCCGTTGTGTCATCCACACATTGGAGGGCTTCATTCACCTTTGCTGGCCTCTCACTTTATCAGACATGATTTCCTTCTCTATTCATTGGTCTCTTCTGATGATACATCCAAAGGAAGTGAGTCCAAGTCTTGGAAAACATACTGTGATCCACAGGTTTTCATTGACAGATTCTTGGAAGTAGACCATCAGGCCTTTGTTCCCAATGGATCTGAGTTTGGAAGCTTCACTGAAACTTTTTCATCATAGGTGACCCTGCTGGAATTTGAAATACTGGTGACATAGCTTCTAGCATCATAGCAACACACCAGTCACCACCAGTACGACAGTCTGCTAGATGGTGGAGGCTTTAGATCTATGGCTGTTGTGATACATAAAATGTGCTTAAATCAAAATTCACTGAAGTCAATTTAATTTGTAGAAGTATTCCAGTAGGGCACGTCTAGGAATGGAGGAAAGTCAGACAGCAATGGGACACATCTTACTGGAAAAATAATTTTCTCTGTTTAAGACACTATTGGAAAAGTTGTTGTTGTTAAGTGCCATCAAGTCAGTTCCAACCCATAGCGATCCCTTTATATGGTTTCCGAGAAGCAGTTGGTGAGTTTGACTTGCTGACCTTGTAGTTCGCAGTTCAGTGTTTATCCTACAGAGCCACACCAGGACTCCCCCTATTGGAATTAGTGCCATTAGTTTTTATATAAGCTATAGCTTTGGTGGAGTCCTGGTGTGGCACTGTGGGCTAATGCACTGTATTGTAAAGTTGTTTGAACTACAAGGTCAGTGGTTCAAGCTCACAAGCCGCTCCTCGGAAACCCTATACAGGATTGCTATGGGTCAGAACTGACTCAATGACACTTAACAACAACTACATAGCTTTGGCAGAAAAGCTCTAGTGATGATGTTAGCTGATTCGGAGTCTCTAAAGGAACACTTGTGATACAGTGGTAGAGTACTTAGCTGCTAAGTGCGCACCAGCTGCTCATTGGAAGAAGAGAGCTGGTGACCTGCTCCCATAAAGATGACAGCGTTGGGAACACTAGGGAGCAGTTCTACTCAGTACTGTAGGCTTGCTTTGAATCGGATCAATTCACTAGCGTGGGATTTGGTCTTGGTTTTGAAACAGTTGTGAAATGTGGGAACCGAGGATGGAGAGGCCTGTTGGGACTCACCCATTCCCAGGCCTGGGACCAGAACCTCCTTTGAAACTGCTTTTATCAGATGGCTTTGATCCTCCCAGGCCCAAAGATAAAGATGGATAAAGGAGATGTTATTAGCGCTATTATTTATACTTAGTGTAACTTACGTTTACGTCTTTTTTAATAAAGTGCTTTAGGCATTACTGATTTCTATGTAATTTCACTTCTCATGAAAGTATGCTCTGGTGGTGCTGTAGGATAAGCACTGGACTGCTAACTGCAAAGTTGGCAGTTCAAACCCATCAGCCACTCCAAGAGAGAAAGATGAGGCTTTCTGCTTCCTTAAAGAGTACAGTCCTGGTGTGGCACTGTGGGTTAATGTGCCAGACTGACTGCAAGGTTGGTGGTTCAAGTTCCCCAGCTGTTCCTCGGAAACCCTATAGAGGGTCTCTATGGGTCGGGACCTACTCGACAGCACTTAAGAACACCAATAAAGAGTTACAGCCTTGGAAAACCCTATACAGGGTTGCTGTGAGTTGGAATCATGAGTTTTTTGTTTTGTTTTTTTCACTTCTCATAGTATCACTTCTGGGCAGAAGAGGAAGGCTTCAAGCAGCTACAGAAATAACCACTTTTCTCTGAGTTACAATATTTACTTTTGTTGTAGCTAAATGCCGTGGAGTCAGTTCTGACTTATTGTGACTTTATATAGGGTTTCCAAGGAGCCCCTGGTGGGTTTAAGTCTGTGACCTTTGTTGAGCAGTCCAGTATTTACCTACAGTACCACATCAAGTCCACAACCAGGCCTATTGGGAGTATTTGTTCCCTTTATGGTTGGCTTTCATGGAGACTTTTGAATTTAGTAGAAGCTTTGTGCATCATTGACCTAGGATGGTGGTTTGGAAGTGGTTTCTATTATCCCCTCCTATAGCAGGATTGGAGTCCTGGTGTGGCACTGTGGGTTAATGCGCCAGACTGCAAAGCCGTTTGAACTGCAAGGTCGGCAGTTCAAGGTCACCAGCTGCTCCTCGGAAACACTATACAGGGTCGCTATGGGTTGGAACCGACTTGACAGCACTTCACAACAACAACATTGCAGGGTTAAGGAGCTCTGGTAGCGTAGTGGTTATGAATCAGGCTGTGAACCACAAGGGCAGCAGTTCAAAACTACCAGCTGTTCTGCAGGAGAAAGATGAGGCTTTCTGCTCCCGTAAAGATTTACAGCCTCGGAAACCCTGTACAGGGGTCGCTATGAGTCAGAACCGACTCCACGGCACACAACTGCATAGCAGGATTAAATATGGAGAACACATGGATGGGAGCCATAGGCACCTTGGATAAAAGGGCCAAATTCTGGTGTTTTTATTTTTTAATTTTTTTTTTTTTTATGGCTCTTTTCAGTTTATTGTATGAAGGAGTTACACTAGTCCAAATGGTTATATTATACAAATTGTGAGGTTTTAAACTTGTGACAAGGGACCGAGAGAAATTTTCTACTCATTGCAAGGAAATCCTTACTTAAGCTTGTGAAGCCACAAGCACTTAAGACCCATGAACCTTCAGTGGTGGTCCTTAGCCAGTCCAATGTCTACAAGGAACTGGCATCTGTTCCTGTGCTGGTCACCCTGTAGCCGAATTACTTCTCCATATTCTGGATGCTCAATTACAGTACCATTGCAGACAAATTTCTTCTTAAACGCCTTCACTAGTTTCTTTTTATTGTAATCATCAGCGATCCCTTGGACAGTAGTAAGGGTCTTCCTGCCGTTTCTCTGTTGAATTCTTATATGGATATAATCTTGTATCAGCAAAGGGGTCGAAAGAGCGTAGAGGTTCTGAATAGGGGACATACGATATGATTCCTTTTCCTCTGTGGAAACCGTCTGTGGACGTCGGCGGCGGGAGAAGGGGTGGGGTGGGGGCGGGGGACAGAGCGGGAAGTGAGGGGTTTTGGGGAGGCTACTGAGTCCTCGGCGGCGACTCAGTGACTGGGGCCCCCAAATTCTGTTTTGCCAGATGGTCTCCACTAGGAAAGGTGATTCAAAGAACAAAATGTGTCTTCAGCATTGCCAGTATTTATAGAGCATTCCGTGGGAAGTTGGTTTTCAGACTTGAGGGAACATCAGCATGATCTAGAAAGTATATTAAAACCAGGATTGTTGTACATGATCAATTCTGATTTTGTCGTTCTGGAGTCAGGCCTGAGATTTTGCATTTCTATCCAGAGATTCTCATTTGGGCCCATCCTTAGAGAACGGCTGGAGTAGAATTCGGGTAAAGTCATGTATCACAGAACATCCATTTGGGCAACATGCGACTGCATAGGCAGGTGGGCTTCACAAATTTTGTAGAAAAATTCTATGATCTTTTAATTTAATTTTTCCGTAAACTTTTTGAAACCCCCTCATTAGGTGGTCTGAGGTTACAACGTCCAACTTACATACCACTGGTCGTTATGAACTAACCCTCATAAAGCCTACTATATAAAAATTTTGAGGTACATGCTACAATGGCTTATAATAACAAGGAGATGCTGCTTTGTGATGCACATAAAACATTATTATTATGTTATTATGTTAAAGATTTTTTAGCATATTAATGCATCTGGAGGAATTCTGGTGTGGTGTTGTAGGATAAGCTCTGGACTGCAAACTGCAAGGTTGGCAGTTCAAACCCACTAGCTGCTCCTTTGAAACGCTATACAGAGTCGATATGGTTTGGAACCAACTCAACGGCACTTAACAACATCAAACAACAATACATCTGGAAGTATTTCTCAAATGTTTTTTATACATAGAAAAGTAAGCTCTATACTACATAATAAGAAAAACATTGAACTAACTGACATTAGATACGAACCTTACCGAACTGTTTTGATTTACCTATAAATTTGACTTAGAGACAGACTTTGGAACGAAACTCATTCATAATCCGGGGATTGCTTGTATGACTGTAGTCCCACAGGGTATAATAAAGTTCAGAAATCCTGAGTGGGGAACAGGACATAGCCAATGCAGCAGCTTCCTGCATTGAACAGGTCTATCTCATGTCTCGTGTGTACATGGGGTGATTGTGCAGCCAGGCATGCAATACAGCACATATATAACCTATGATACATGTATCTTGATAATCATGATCAAAGTCTACTTTGGTACTGTACAATACTTCCTACTAGAAAGTTTATTATATAAACAGTAGACTTCACTTATATGCAGCAGCATCCAAGCCTGTGTCTCTTGACTGTTAGAGCATTATCCTTCCGTTCAATTTTCTTTCTAAAATGTTACTGTGAAGTGTATCATGACTCTCAAATTCAGCAAAACCAGTGCTACTGGGAGCAGCAACAAGAGGCAAAGGAGAAGTGTCGACTAGGAAGTAAAACAAAATGTTATTAGGCACCATGAAGGTGGAAAATCAGTGAACAACGTTGCTTACAATTTAAGCATATTGCACTTGAAAATCACAACAATACTTAAAATGAAGAAAAAAATTTCCAAGTTATTAAAGGATCTGCTCCACTGAGAGCAACAAGGCTGACAAGCATCTGAGAGGGACCTATATCAAATATGAAGAAACTGCTGAGGGCCAAACACAAAAGCGAATCCCTCTCAGCACATTGATAACAATCACTAAGACATGGACTTGACATGGTCCTGGCACAATGTCCAAATCACATCATGTTCTAACATCCTGGACCTAGTGATGCATGACTGTACCAAAGATCCTGACGAACTTGTAGCAGTTAAGTCAGAGTATGCTGAATGGTCAAGTTTTTTTCTTTTCTATGTATTTCGATTAGAGTTACTTCAATATGTTCAAGCTGGGCTTGAGCTAAATAGACCAGAAATCCTGTTTGATGATTATTAAGCATGAAAATAAAAACTTTTTATTTGGAAATAATAATAGATTCACAGGAACTTTCAAAGGAATGTTCAGGAAGGCCATATACAGGCACACTTGACCCAGACTCTCTAGTATTAACATCTTGCATAATATCAAAACCTGAAACTTGACAATGATAGAATCTGCAGAGTTTATTCAGATTTTGCCAGTTATACATGCATACAGCTTTGTGCAGTGTTATCACATCCAGCCTTGTGAAATTACCACCCATATCAAGATAGACAACTGTGTCACCAACACACAACTCTCTCCTCTTCAACACCTACTCCCTTCTCTTCATCACTAACCTCTGGCAACCACCAATCCTCTATAATTATGTCATTTCAAAAATGTTATATAAATGGATTCATGCTGTATATTGGATTTTCCCACTAGCATGATATCCTTAAAGTTTATCTAAGTTCTTGTGCATATCCATAATTATTTATTTTTTTTTATTACTGCTAAGTATTAACAGTGTTAGAGATTTCCTCTGCATGAACTGTATCCCATAACAGTTGATATTTAGTGTTTTCATTAAACGTTTTTTTTTTTTTTCTTTGAGATTTCATCTTTGGTCCATGGATTATTTTAAACTATAATTTAAATACAAATGTCGAGTGGTTTTGTTTGTTTTGATCTTGTTATTGATTTCTACTTTGATTTTACTAGGGTCAAAAAGTTACTCTGATTTCAATCCTTTTATGTCTCTTAAGGGTCGTTTTGTGATTCAGGATATGGTCTATTTTGGTGAATGTCTCATAGGTGCTGGAAAAGTATTTGCATTCTGTGTGGAATGTTCTATAAAGGACAATTACTGTGAGTGGGGTGTTGAAGTCTCCAACTATATTAGTAGATTTATCAATTTCTTCTTTCAACTTTATTAGTTTTTCCTTCATGAATTTTGAGGCTTTGTTGTTTGGTGTACCCACATTTAGGATTGCTATCTCTTCTTGGTAGATTAATTAAAAAAAAAAAATAAATGTTTGCATGATCAATCTTTTGCCATCCTTTCAACGTATCATTGTTGTTGTGTTTAAACTGAGTTTCTTGTAGATGGTATATAGTTAGGTGATTTTTTCTTTTGCTTTTTAAACTACTCTGCCAATCTGCCCTTTAATTAGGGTATTTAGACCATTTCATTTAATGTGATTATTGATATGTTAGAACGTAAGTCTACCATTTTATAATTTGTTCTCTGTTTCTTGTTCCTCTCCTTTATTCATGTTTTCCTGTAGGTTACTTGTATATATTTTAGTGTTTTATTTATACTATTTTTAGTATACCAATTTGTATAATTTCCTTTCTTTTTTTTAGTGGTTGCACTAGGTATTACCACATATATAAGTTATCACAGTCTACTGATGCCAACATTTTGCCAATTAACATGAAGTATAGAAATCTTCTTTTAAAGTCCCATTAACCTCTTTACTTTTAAAATATGACTTAAGTGTACTTCCTACTTAGAAAAGAGATGGTGTCATAAATTTTGCTTCAAACTGTAAAATATGATCCAAGAACTCATGAGGTAAAGAGTGTCTATGAGAATAACTCAAAAAGTATTGCTCAAAATCACAGAAAACTATCTACTAAACCAAAATATCAAAATGTGAAGCTATTGTTTCTCGACAGATCTGCCACCTAGGTCTATATACTTCTGAAATCAGTGTTTCCATCTCTTTAACCCTTCCCTAAAGAATTCTGCCATGTCAAAACAGCAGTTTTGGCATATTTGAGAGATTCAAATCATGTTTCTTTGAGATGTTCTTTGAATTTGGGGGACAAAAAGAAGTCTGAAGGGGCAAGACCAAGGTTGTAGGGTAGATGGGATAACATTTTCTAATGAAATTATCATAGGGCAGATGTTGCTACCATCCAAGAATGAGCAAGTGCATTGTCGTGCTGGCAAAAAAATTCCTTGGTACAACCTTCCTGGTCTTTTACTCACCAATGTAATTAAAAAAAAAAAAAAAAAAGTCTTCCTAATAAGCCTCAGTGATTTTTATTTTTGAGAAAATCTAACAACATGACCCCCTGGGAGTACCCCCAAAACAGCCGTCTTAATTTTCTGAACTGACCTCTCTTTGGCTTGAATTTAGTTGGCTCAGCAAATCCCCTTGGAAGCCACTGTTTTGATTGAACTGTTTTTTTGAAGGCACCTTACCAAGACAAGTATATTACTGAGAAAACTTGCCTGCAGCCATCTACTGATCACAGAAACATAGAGACATGTTTAAACATATTTTGTTTGGACTAAACCAGTGTATGTACAAACTGGAATTCTAGTTGTTGTTGTTAGGTGCCATCAAATTGGTATGGACCCATAGC